CTCGTCGTTTTCGCCGTTCGTCGCTGTTTGCACAACTTCCACCGGAGGCTCGCATGATTTCGAGCCTGTCTGCAGATGGCGACATAGCGTCGTTGATTATTCGGCAATGATGAATTTATGAGACGAGACGTGCCACGATTTCCGACTGCGACTAGGAGTCGGATGTTCGTATTTGGAAGACTAAGTCGCAAACGAATGATTTAATTAGTCGGATAGCAAGAGATCAGCACGCGGTTCCCTTTTTTTCCTATTAATTAAGCAATATGTATAATTTAACTTCATCTGCCGAAGGTTTTCATTTCAAAGAATCTTCGGCCGCAAAGGGTTAATTTTTTCAGTAACCGTTGCCTTATAATGTGTCTGACTCGTGATGAAATTTTTAAATTGAATTCGACAGATCTAGATGCCATTCATTTGTTTCTAACATAAATGAAATGTTACCTTCGTATTATCAATTTTTAATATTTGTGAACGTAGAATATAAAATTCTCTGTTTTTTCTATTAAATTATTAATGATAACGTTGTTTTATCAGGGACAGTTGAGAAATAGAATATAAGGCAAGAGGTTACGTTACAATCGAAATAATATTACTATAGATACTGAGAAATTAAGATTTCGGATAGGTCAAAATGCCATTTGTTGGATGTCTCATCGAGAAAACGAACTTTTAAGTGTTAGTGGAAAGTTATGTCACCAGAATTAGTATATGGTGGTCGAAGTGTTAAAGTTTTTATCGTTGGAAACTGGGGCACTATCTGCATAATGACGTCTTAAGTACGAAGGTAGCAACATAATCAGATCGTTAACTGGAAATTTTAATAATGGCAACAATGTTCGAATGTATGAAACGATACACTGTTTGAATTCTGAGTCCCTCAATCGACGACCCCTTTTCACGAACGCTGAATCGAGAAATTGAACGTCGAAACGAGAGACTCGCGGGATACGAGGATCGTCGACGGAACGAGCGTCGCGTTGGGTGCTCCTTCAATTTTTCCTTCCATTTATAGCTTTTATTAAAAAATTCTTTTAATTTTTCCAATGAATCCGAGCGGTGTTTACGTTGATGGATCGTTGCGTATTGAACCCGGCGGCCCCGTTATTTTTTGCTGGATTTTATTGAACCTTTGCTAACCGTGTTGACGTCGAAATGGTACTATAAATAAATCATAGGTTTCACCGGTTGAATTTTTATACGGATTCTTCGGAATGAAACGTGTTTTCCCGGTTTCTTTTCTTTGAGCCACGGATGTAGCAGAACATGACAAACGATGATTCTAGATGAGTTAAGAATAAAATTCTTTCATATCACACGAGGTATTTAACCCTTTGCACTACAAAGGTGCCTCTCAGTCACTCGATTGGTGCATCAAAATTGTAAAATTTCGTATTTAACATTAAGTCTTGAATAATCTGTCGAAATGTGGAAATAAAATAGCATTGTTCCCCTTATTCTGTGAATAGATTTCTCGTTAAGTTAGTTTTAAAAAATGTCATCTACATCTCATAAAAACAAATTGAATATTTCTAGTGACAAATTTTTCGAATGCAAAGGTTAATAGTAAACAATTGCTACAAGGGAAGAGGTTCCCGCGATGAATTAAACAAGACACTGCGGCGTTATTGTTCTCCAAAGATTGAGCGAGTCCGCCACCCTTAAGGCTCATGCATCACTGTCACCACGTGGTCTAGTCTCGGGCTTATCTTGAAATCCCTTAACAATCTAGTTTCTCTTACTGTTTCCCGTACGCACTCACAAACGCATGTTGTGAATCACACGTACTGCCCATATGGCTATGGAACCGCGAACCTTACAGAAATACCATTCTCCGAACACAACTGAAATTATTTAAGTCCTCCAAGCTGAATAAAAATCAAAATTTACTGCAAGCTCGTTTCAGTTTACAAATAACTGTTCCAAAATTACCTCTGATGTAAGCACAGTTACATATTTCTCGATTATAATTAACTACTGTTACACTATTTTCATTATAAATCTTGATCTTCATTCTCCTATCTTTTTCATGACTCATATTTCACATTGTCAAACCGATATATTTATTCCACAATTATTTCTGATATAAGCACTGTTACGCAATTTTCGACTACAATTAATTACTGTTACACTATTTTCATTATAAATCTTGATCTTCATTCTCTTATCCTTTTCATAACTCATATTTCACATTGTCAAACCGATATATTTATTCCACAATTTCATTCGCCCGTATTATAGGTCACTAGCTCACCAATCGCTGTTAAATAAAATCAACGAATGATGAAGGAGAGCGGCGAATCGAAAAGAAGACATCGACACAGCCGTATTTCATTTCGATAGCTCGTTTCCGGATTCGAGGATCGAACGGCGGCCGGTATCGAGGGAAAGGAACGGGCAAACGCGGCAGGCTCGCGTCATGAATTTGTAACACTGTTTGCTTTCACGTAATTGCCCAAGTTTTCGCGGAGACGCTCGTCCATCCGTGGAACTTTCTCGATTCCTAAATCACCGGGCGGAAACCGCTCGGAAAAATCCGCTGGCACAGCCGTCGGCGACGCCGGCCGCCTCTCGTTACTCCTTTTAATGCTTAATTTTTCCCGGAGAAAAGGGGAGCGCGACAGAAACCGAGCATAACGCTGCGAACTCGCTGCCGACGATTTCTTCGAACCGTCGCACAGTGCGATGTTCGTTCGATCAAGCAGACGAAAGGTCCATTTTCAAAATTTTACCTAAACAGACAAATTTTTGCTGTTTGACAGAGACCAATGTGCGAGGAACAATGTCCTACAAATTTTTGTATCCTTAGAGCACAAAAGTGCTGAGCTATGCTGAAAGTTAGGCATTTTTCGACTACGTTTTGGGAATGTACGGATTTTTGTTCAATATCAGAGTTTTATGGTAAATATATAGTATACCTTTAATGGTTCATTACATTTTTAGTAAAATAAACTGAACAATTATATATTGTTTATGATTTTTTACCGTGTATTATATATTATATTACTGTGTGTTACATCGTGTAATATATGAATATATACTTTTTTATATATTTATATGAAGTTATATGTAATTTGTATTAATCAATTTATTAGTATATCCCATATAATTGCATATTATTATGCTACATTCTCATATTTTCTTATGAAAACTATATAAACTTATATTTAATTATAGTTGATCTGATCTGACACATCGAAATTAAGTAGATTCACGATAGATTACAAATTATAATACTTTAATTACGATGTTCCATTAATTTCGTTAATCGTTCCGTCATTTCCCCGAAACATATACACATTGCTGATAATTTCACATCAATCTCAGTATTTAAAAGAACTTTCTTCCATTCTGCCACAATTTTCCATTAATTAAAAGAAGTTACCCCTCGCATGTGACGATTTTACAGCTGAATATTTTTGCAAAATGTTCTTTCTCGGGGAGTTTATTATACCATGCGATTACCAGCCTGCAAAGTGCACAGATAAGAAAATGAATTCGCTAGAATACTTCAGTCACGATTTAATTAAGTTTCTAGCTCATGCTCGCCTTTGATCAAACTTTCCGCGAAGGAATAAAGTTCCTGTTTAATTTCCGCGTTTAAAAAAGAAACGGGGTAGATATGAAAATTCTGTTTAGAATTCATTTCTCCTTTACGGATCTTAAAATGATGAAAATGTAACGATTTCGTTCAACTCGGATCGACGTATATTCTTCGGTGACTAATACCTCGGAGTTTGTGCACTTGTTAGACGCGCACGTCGACAATGAAGCGGAAGATCATGGAATTACGAATGACCGATGCATCGGCGAACCGTAAGCCGCGTTAACGCGTCGCGAACTCGAGACGGCGACCCCGTTTCATCAATCATTTTCGAAATTCTTCTTCGGACGCTTTTTCGCGCGGAGCTTGAATCCTTCAATGTGGCGGGATCGCAATTTTTTTATATTGCCCGGCTAGATAAAACACGGTGGATTTATGCGGGAGATGCTCGATATCGCGCAGTCGCCTTTTTTTCGGGTGACGCGTGCACCCGGCTGCCCTACATCCTAAAACCTACGTAATCGTCAACGTAAACATTTTTCCTAATAAATGTTGTCTTACAAAACCCTTAAGAATAGTCACCTTAAGAGTTAACTAAGATACCAGAATTTTAAAATAATTTGTCTTTCCACGACACATTTTTCTGATGACAGTAGTAAAAAGTCGAATCAAATATATATATTTTCAAAGTTATTTTTCTGGAGGTAGTTTATAATAAATGTATGGATATTAGAAATTTGTCGAAGTTATAAGAAAATTATAATAATATAATTTATATAATACAACTTATAAGCGGTTTATAATAAATATATGGATATAAGAAATTTGTCGAAGTTATAAGAAAATTATAATAATATAATTTATATAATATAACTTATAAGCGGTTGATAATAAATATATGGATATTAGAAATTTATTGAAATTAATGTGTTTTGTAGAATATATAATTCTGTGAAGAATAATAAATACAAAACCTATCGGTCGTAAAATGACACTACTCAGAAAGGAAGAACATGCCATATTGACAATCGCAAAGGGTTAATTGTAACAACTGAGTATCTTCGATAAAGAGAATCGTTAAAACGAGCCATCAAAAATTGAAACAGTAGAAACTTCGACGTAAAACCAACAAAAAATTCAATTTCATTTGCACGAACGTTCCGAATCGAAGTGTCTCTCGTTTAATAGGAACGCGCGGGTATAATGTTCTCCAAAATATCATTTCCCGTTCTGTTTGCCGACAGGAAGATCCAAGGACAGCATGAGCAACTCGACAAGGAGTACAGGATCCACGCCGCCGGTGTTCTCCTGTGCAATTCAAGGGGCTCCGGGAAGGTAAGCGTTTTGTCATTATTCTTTCGCCTCGTTCCGTGATTCGCGGAAGATAAATGGTTCCCTCGATCATCGCAACGCGATCTATTATTTGCTAGCCGGGGGAAAGCTCGGCTGGTGCTTCGCTATTCTCACTGTGACTCGGCTGTTCGTTAAATAAATTCGATCGATCGACGGTGTCTCTTGGGGCGACCAAAAGAGCCTTCGTACCGTGACTCTCTAAGAAATTGAAACGACTTCCCTCGGTTAAACCCACCTCGCGGCAGAATTAAGTATTATTCGACTACGTATCCAATAAAGAAGAAAATTAATCGTGAAAACCAACATGAAGGGTCTAGCGCTCGGGAAAATCTCGAACTTCCACTCCCTTCTGTCGTTCAATCGTAATTTCTCGCGAAAACGCTCCACGTATCAACTAAATATATGTATTAACATAATATATAATTTATTAATTGAATTACAGTTAGAAAATTTATTAAATAATATACTAATGTATACCATGGTGTGAATCACACGTACTGCCCATGGCTATGGAACTGCGCACCTATGGAAATACCATTCTCCAAACACAACTGAAATTATTTAAGTCCTCCAAGCTGAATAAAAATCAAAATTTACTGCAAGCTCATTTCAGTTTATAAATGACCGTTCAAAAATTACCAAAATTATAAAATTATCGTTACACTATTTTCATTATCGGTCTTGATCTTTATTCTTATATCTTTCTACAACTCTACTCATATTTAATATTGTTAAACCGATATACTTATTCCATAATTTCCTCCGACATAAACAATGTTACACGATTCTCGACTACAATTAATTATTGTCAAACATACGATCATCGTAAAATAACCCTCAAACATTCACGTCTTCCTCATACATTTACATCTCCCCAAAGCGTCGCGTACTCTCCGATCGTTCCGCTTCCCTTGTCCCTCGGCGAACAATGAAAGAAAAATCCCCGAAATGTTCGCGGCGCGGAGCCACAGGCTCCCCGGGCTCCTCGAGATCCACGAGCCCATCGAAAGGTCTGCCGGCAATAGAAGTTCTATCTCATTTCACCAGGAAAATAATGTAACGGTGCAATCTAAAAGAACGAGGCAAACTTTCGACGAGGTTCGAGGAGGTTACGCGATCTTTCCCTCGGAGCGTTCCATCGTCGAGCCTTCGGAATAATAGATTCAATTTCTGCGTGCCCTCTCGCCCTTTCCCTTCCCTCCTCGCCCCAGCCGCTGTCCCCGCTCGCTCGTTCCAGGCCATCGTCTCCGGCGAATGAAACTTTGGCCGGATTATCGCGCTTTACCGAAGATCGAGGCAGAGGAGGACCCAGAGGCTGGCTCCTCCGGCGCTCCGAGCAATCGAGAGTCGGGCGATTCTATCGAGAGTTTTCGAACCGAAGTTTCTTGGAGCTGACCCGCGGACTGTGACGAGCTAGGAACAAGGGGGACGCGCGAGTTTACAAGGGTGTGTTTATAGCGAGGCCTTGATATACTCGATCAGAGGAGATGAGAGTGAAACGTGAATATACGTGAATTTCTTTTGTAATGGAAGCATTTGCACTAGATTAGCTAGGTTTAGTAATTGATTGATGGTGGAAAATAGCACAAGTTTAACCAGTTAACTGTGTTTGACGAGTGTACGCGTCATCTTAAAACTCTTAACGGTGCTAACCTTCTCAACGATGGATTATTTATTTTTTGAGACAAACATGTAATAATTAGGATATATTTTAATATATTTTACACTTCATTATTTGATTTTATTGCGGGCACAACGAGAGATTTTTCAAACTAAATTCTTCACTTAACTGGTTAATACTTAAGTTTAGTAGCTATGTTTAATACTAATCGTCCCGATCGAATGACTGGATTTAAAATTCTTTTCTTCTGTTCACTTAATTTTAGATCACTTCCTATATTGTCCGATTAATTGGTCTTTCAATGTTCATCCTCCTGTTTCTGTTTCAACTAAGAAAACTTTATCGTATTTGTTTATCCTTAGTTTATAGTCAGTTATTCGAGGAGTAGGAAAAGGCGTGGTGTTAATAAATTGAAAATAGAGAATGATACGAGTAAAACTAATAAGTCGTTTTTGTTTTATGATGGACGCGTTTCGCGTTGGACACAGTGCTGAATTAAGGCTGCGAATAATAGAGTACATTTTTAATTCTCTTTCAGTCTCCTTCAGTTCTTCAAGTTGGAACGACTGAAGTTTATTGCTCCGCTGCGAGCGCAATAAAGAAAGATATTTCATCGCCGCACTGATCAACGCTCTCTAACTGTCGCAGCTCCGCTGTAAACGAATACCCACCACGGATAGCGAACGCTAGAGCGTTTCAGCCGTTCCACGTGAAATTGTACTCCGCACTGTGCTGAGTCTTTTAATTTGTTCCTGGCGACTAGGACCGTGCTCGGGAATCCTTAATGCTTCTTCCCAGTCGGACTTTCTTTAATACGAAGCTTGTACGTTCTACATTTTTCCTTATTCTACAGCAATAATTGTCTCGGCCTTTTAACCAGTGTCCTCCAAGAACTGCCGACTCCGCAGGAGTTAACGCGTTCATGATCACATTGTTTCACTATGTCTTGATACTCCATCTAACATTTCAGCGAAACAGTGCGCGTTCATGCCGCAAACATTGAAATCCAACACGTTTCCGAGTTACCAAATATATACTCTATAAAATACGCAGAGTACATTTCATTTCAGTGAAAACGCAATCGCTAATTGCATCCGCGACAGAATACATGAATCTGATTAACGTTCGCGTAAAAATCCAGGCAATAATCAATTCATTGTCACCGTCGAATCAACGAATGAAAGAATCATTTCACCAATTTCAGAACTATTGAGCAAGAACAATGGTACACGATCAATTCCGTCCCACCCAAATGAAACGCGAGCTCGTCCTGTTGCTCGCGCCTCCTCCACGAAGACATTCTCAATCCCGGCCACGTAGCCGCCCTCGTATTTCCTTTTTTTAATTCCCGGCTGCGGACAGGTTTTGTTTTTGATCACGTCTCCATCAACCCACTTGGTTCCTTCCGTTTCATATTCCTCCCGGTCTCCACCTACTGCCATTTTCCTCGCCGCGGCTATCCGTTACACCTTCCACAACATGGCCGCTCGCGTTTCGGCCCGCGTCAGTCGATACACGCTCTTTCCCCTCCCTCTCTCTCTCACACACACTCTTTCCCGCACTCTCCCGCCTCTCGTCTTTCATATTTCATTCCTTCTGGCGCACCGGCCGGTTCTTCCAGCTTTGTCATCCGTTTCGCGCCGGTTCCTCCGGAGCTTTGTCATCCGTTTCCCCGGTAATTCCCGTTCATCGCGAAACACCGCGGTTTCTTCTTGCGTTCCTTTATTATCCGCCCGGCGATCCTGGTCTCTTCGTTTCCGCAATTTTCTCCGTCGCTTTTGCGCCTCGTCGTCCGCCCGCTGCCTCCTCTTCGCACACGGATATACAGAGTGGCCGTCAAATTGTTGCACGCGGTTTTTGGCGCACTTCCGTTAACCTAACCTACAAACTTCCCTGAAACATCCGTCTCTTCGGAGAGTTTCATGGAAAATTCTTAAAACCACGGTGTTGGGAATTTTTCTTGAAATCAGCTGTAATGAAGAAAAGATATTGAGTTCGTATTAGAATTTTTCTTGAACTTTAAACGTTTGTAGCTTGTAGTTGGTGCCAGCGATCGATGGAGACAGCGAGCCTCGCTCGGAACGTTGCTTCACTTTTCAAAGGAATTGTTGGAGGAATCGCGTATACCAATTTACTGAACACCCTGTGTGTACATTCTCTGACTACACTTCGACGTTTCCTATTTCTTTTCATTCCTCTGGCACGGACCAGCCTCGGATTTCATATTATTTCCTTCGCAGTGCGTTTCCCCCCGCTTCGCCCCGCCGCCCCTGTCCCCTGCGTCCCATTATCCTTTTCCCGGTCGTTCCTTCAAGGTTCAATATGCGTTCTCGGTACACCGTTGTTTCTGCGATCCCGACGTTTCGCTTTCTCATTTCCTCGGGCCCCCGCCGAGCCCACTTTTACCTTCGAGCACCCGGTGTCGGCGATATATCTGACACAGGTATTAGAAAATTGTTGCCACCCTTTCTCCGAGCTGCAATTGATTGCGCGATTTTCGACCGAACGGTTGCTCTCGTCTCGTCGCTCCAAATTCTTTTGTACTCGATAATTACAGGTTCCGAGTGGTTTCGGTTAACTTGATTTACTTGGGAGTTGGAATGATGATAATGATGATGGAAATGTTGTTGTATGGAAATGAGTAATCTTTTATAATTGTGACGATTTATAATTTTATGTTTAATACGTTGACTGCCACCAGAAGATCTAGCGTTTTGAATAGTAATACTTATTCTTTAATAACAAAGGCAAATGATATTGAAAGTAATTATCAATGGTTTGGTATTACAGTAGTCGTATTACGCTATGATCTAGCTACTTATGTTACTGAATATTTTATTTAAAATCAAGTTTTATCGTAATTGTTCTTCAGCAATTTGGTAGCGATTACCGTGGCGGTGAACGTGTTAATATATAGTTTTGATTATCAACTGTTTGTTTTGTTGCTGCGAGATAATCCTTCGTTAGTATCTGGAAAAATGACTAATCAAAACATAATAGCGAAAGGTTCGGAACGAAATTCGATTCGTTCGATTTCTAGTGTGTTTTGTGTGAGTTTGAGGTATATACACGGTCAATATTGTACGTCCGTGTGGTCTCATAAGGGAATTGTCCGCTTCCACGAAGTTTATTGTGCTTTTATTGAACACGATCACGTGAAACCGTTTCTAATAAACTGAGCGTAGATACACAGAAGTGGATTAGACGGAGTCTTTAATTTAAGTAGCTTATACAATTTAAACCAGGCATTCCCTACGTACCACTATTAATTCAGTAGGTCTATAAATATCTTTCACTGACAGATTAAATATATTTTCACTTGCAATTGGAACACTTCATTTTCAACCTCTCTACTTCTACGTTCAAACATTAATTATACCCTTTTATCAAAGAATACATT